CGCCCGACGACGCCCCGGCCACCGCGGCGCACCCTGACCCGCACCCACCTGCGAGCGCGCCGCTACCGGGCGGGCGCCTCCTGCACCCGGAGAGGCGGCGCGGGATCCGGACCCGCAGGCTGCGGGCGGGCCGGGCGGGGGCAGTTTAAGAGGGAGGCGGCGGGCGGCAGGAGGGCGGGCGAGGGAGGGGAGAGGACCCGGCCCACGCAGGTCCCCAGGCCAGTCTCGTCCCCGCCCACCGCAGCCATTGGCCGACGCCGGACTCGCCCTCAGCCCCCAGCCCCCAGGGGTCGCGCTCCTCACTCCCCGGCTCTCCCAACCCTCGCCCGGACCCGGCCGGGAGCGCTCGCCACCGGCTTCTGCGGCGGCGCTATTGCGTGTGCCACGCGTGCGGGCTCGGGGCTCAGGGTCCCTGGATCAGCCCGTTTGCCGGCGCCCAGACTCTGAATCGGAGCCTAAGGGCCAGGACCCCCGCCCGGGGCCGCGCCCCCGCCTTCGGCTTCATGTTTCCCAGAGCCGAGCTTGGCAGAAGGCGGTTGCAAACTCCAGGGCCGGGGGGTCGTTCGCCCCTGGTGCGTCGTGGGGAGCCTGGCGGTGCCCGTAACGCCCCCGAGGCTTCGGGTGGTTGTGTATCCTGCGCCGGGCTTTTACTGTTTTTATTGATTTCAGAGAGGGAGGGAGAGGGGGAGAGAGATGGAAACATCAATGGTGAGAGAATCATGGATCGGCTGCCTCCTGCACGCCCCACACTGGGGGTGGCGCCCGCCACCCGGGCCTGTGCCCTGACCTCCTGGTTCCTAGGTCACGCTCAGCCCCCGAGCCACGCCAGCCGGATCGGGCTTTTACTTCTTAAATGTGACTTTCAGCGCCGAGGAGCGGTCGCCCGCGCCGCCACACCTGTCCGTCCCCCGGGGAAGGCTGCCCGGCTCCGAAAAGCAGGGGCCAGACGCTTACCGGGCGCTCCAAGGCCGCGTTCACATTCTCCCGGCCGGCCATTGAGGGAGAGAAAGGAGCGCTCAGGCCCATCACATTCACATGGGAAGCGTCTAGGGTGGGGGACGCCCAGGTGATGCCTGGCGACCTGGGCCAGGTTCTTCGCCTCGCGGTCGCCGCCTGCTCTGCAAAATGGGGCGAGTGCTGCCTGCCTTCGGGCCGGACTGTAAGGGTCGAAGGCAGGGGCGCGGAGCCACACACCTGTCCGGCCCGGGCTGGGTCACTAAACGCGGAGAAACATCCTCCCAGCGAAGGGACGCCTCCCCAGGTGCCAACGCTGCGGACGAGGGGCGCCCGCGCGGCTCCCACTTGCAGAGCAGCCCCTGCGCGGCGGGCGCCCCCTCCGCGGGCCGCGGGCCGGGGACCTTGCAGCTTTCGCCTCGGACGCGGCAAAGCGGGAGGAGGGAGGCGGCGGGATCCCTGCCCTCCCCGCCGCCGCCGCCGGGCCAGGTCACCTCCCCGGACGCCACCCGTGGGGGCCCGCGCTGCCCGCGTCCAGATTCGTGTCCCGCGTGCCAGGCGCTTCTCGGATGGGAAGCGGCGCGTTATTTTCTCAACAGGGATGGGTGACGGGAGCCCAGGCTCCCCTCTCCCCGGTGCTGTACCGCTAGCCCGGCTCTGAGGTCCATAGGATGAAGCGCAGGGGCACCCTGTCCCGAGGGCCAGTGCCTCGAGGAAGGATCTCGCCCTGGAAGAGCAGTGCGTGCTGCTGCCTCCTTCCTTCCCGAGACGCGCCGCCTGCACCCACCTCCATTCACCGACCTCCATAACCCGGAGGCTTGAAGACTGGGCACTCGGGGAGTACCTTCGGGGCTTGTTCTGCAAATAATTCCGAGTTCAAAACATTTTTAAAAATTTTTTTAGCCCTAGCTGGTTTGGCTCAGCGGATAGAGCATCGGCCTGCGGACTGAAGGGTCCCAGGTTCGATTCCGGTCAAGGGCATGTACCTGGGTTGCGGGCACATCCCCAGTAGGGGGCGTGCAAGAGGCAGCTGAATCGATGTTTCTCTCTCATAGATGTTTCTAACTCTCCCTCTCCCTCTCCCTTCCTCTCTGTAAAAAATCAATAAAATATATTTTAAAAAAATTTTGTTTTTAATTGCAAACTTGCTTTGTTTAACTAGTTTGGAGAAATCGATAAAATAAAAAATGGAAGTCCCTGCCCATGGCTCATCCCCAATCTCCGGAGGTAAGACCCATGAACAGTTTGGTTTATTCCCTACCCGCACTTTTTTATTTTTTGCAGATACTTGTTTTTTTTTTCTTAAAAATATGTTTTAATTGATTTTAGAGAAAGAGGAAGGGAGGAAGGGATGTTTCTGTCCATCCTGTACCCCCACCAGGGATTGAACCCCCAACCTGAGTATGTGCCCTGACCAGGAATTGAACCAGCTACCTTTTGGTGCATGAGACAGTGCTCAACCCACTGAGCAAACAGGCCAGGGCTATACTAGTATATAATACTTTTAAATTGTTTTTTGGTTTTTAAATATATTTTTATTGATTTCAGAGAGGAAGGGAGGATAGAGAGATAGAAACATCAATTGAGAGAGAATCATTGATCGGCTGCCTCCTGCACACCCCCTACTGGGGATCTAGCCCACAACCGAGGCATGTGCCTTTGGACCGGATGGAACCCAGGACCCTTCAGTCTGCAGGCCGACGCTCTATCCACTGTGTCAAAACAAAATGAGACTATACTTTATACTCTCATACAATTTTTTCACTATCTATTAGTCATTATTCCTGTCAGTACATTAAAAGTAACTTTATTCCTGCTTACGGCTGAGTGGTACGGAAATTCATCTTATGAGCGTTCCCTAAGTTGTACAGCCTCTTCTTGAAAGGAATTTAAGTTGTTGCCAGTTTTTAAACATTTCAAGCAAATTCTGGGAACATTGTTATATATAGGGTAGTCCCCCCCAAATGTTATATACACATTTTGAATGATTATAAAGTCAGTGTTTATTGATATACAGTTTGTTTTCAAAATTAAAAAAAAATACAGAAATGAATAATTTTTGTGTGTGACAATGCCTATTTTCAAACTGATGACTGTTCTGGTCTAGGCACTGCTGACAAGGCGAAGCAATGGAATCGCAAACATCAATATCATTTCGTTGGGTATTTGTGTGCCCTCAATTCATCAGCTGTGTCTGGTTTGTACGGTAAACTATCTTTTCTGCATCCCCAAAATAAAGTCTAGTGGATAAATTTTCTTTCTTCAAAGCTTAGTCTGGTTTCACCCATTATTTCAAATCGTTAAACCTGAAAAAGAATGAAAATTAAGTGAGTTTTCAACTGTTAAAAGTGTGTACACATTTTGGGGGGACGCCAAAATCATTATAAAGGCAGTGTTTGCACTTCAACTGCGTTTTCAAACTTCCAGTGGCATTTTAGAATGAATTTTCTTTTTTCAAAGCTTAGTCTGGCTGAAAACAGAGAAACATCAATTGAACTATCATTGGTTAAAGTGTCTATAATACATGCTTTTGGGACATCCTGTAGATACTCATTTGTGTCTCTGTGCCTATAGAATGAAGACCTAGATGTGAAATTGCTGGATCAACAGGTATCAACATTGAACATTTATTTTTAAAATATTTTTATTGATTTCAGAGAGGAAGGGAGATAGAAACATCATTGGCTGCCTCCTGCACTGGGGATCAAGCCCACAACCCAGGCATGTGCCCCTGACCGGAATCAAACCTAGGACCCTTTAGTCCATAGGCAGACACTCTATCCACTGAGCCAAACCAGCTAGGACAGTGGTTCTCAACCTTCCTAATGCCGCAACCCTTTAATATAGTTCCTCATGTTGTGGTGGCCCCCAATTTCATTGTTACAAATTGAACATAATTAAAGCATAGTGATTAATCACAAAAACAATATGTAATTATATATGTGTTTTCCGATGGTCTTAGGCGACCCCTGTGAAAGGGTCGTTCGACCCCCAAAGGTGTTGCGATCCACAAGTTTGAGAACCGCTGAGCTAGGGCAAAATTGAACATTTAGATAAGGAGTCCAAACCATACCAATTCATACCTCCACCACCCAGGAACGCAAATGCCCTGTTTCTTCATGTCCTCACCTAATACTGAATATGGCCAATCCTTTAAAGCTGCCCATCTTTCACGTGAGAAGTGGGATCTTATTCTAATATGCCTTTCAGTCATTTGCCCAACAAACTTCCTGAGCACCTAAGCTATGGATGTGCTGGGCACCAAGCCAGACACAAGGAATACAATTGTGAGCAAAGCAGCCCTGTCCAGCCCTGGTCCCCATAACAGTGTTACGAGGAAGATAAATATTCGTGGGACTACTTGGTGAATGTGTGACTATGAACTGTGGTGGGGACAATGAAAGGGAAGAGGAGCAAGCATGTCCTGATCTAGGATGGGAGGACAGGGAGGTTCCCCTGTCCTAGAGGATCTGAAAGATCTGTATAAAATCAACTAGGTGGCCAAAACCGGTTTGGCTCAGTGGATAGAGCGTCGGCCTGCGGACTGAAGGGTCCCGGGTTCGATTCCGGTCAGGGGCATGTACCTTGGTTGTGGGCACATCCCCAGTGGGGGTTGTGCAGGAGGCAGCTGATCGATGTTTCTCTCTCATCGATGTTTCTCTCTCATCGATGTTTCTGACTCTCTATCTCTCTCCCTTCCTCTCTGTAAAGAATCAATAAAATATATTTAAAAAAAAATAAAATAAAATCAACTAGGTGAGCCTGGCCAGTGTGGTTCAGGGTTGAGCATCAACCCATGAACCAGGAGGTCACGGTTTGATTCCTACTCAGGGCACATGCCCGGGTTGCAGGCTTGATCCCCTGGGGAAGCGTGCAGGAGGCAGTCAATCAATGTTTCTCAGTTTCTCATCATTGATGTTTCTATCCCTCTCTCCCTCTCCCTTCCTCTCTCTGAAAAAAAATAAAATAAAATAACTAGGTGATGAGAGCAAGTGGTATTCCAGGTCCAAAGAAATTTGGTGCCAAGGCCCTGCAGTTTGGACAGCCTGGCTGAGTCACAACAGAGGATGCCTAGTGTGGAGGAGACAGCCTGAAAGGTTGGAGAATCAGCAGTGGCCAGGTCTGGCAAAGGACAGTGTGAAGATGTAAGTATCCTTATGTCCTCACTTGCAAATCTTTACTGAAGGAGTAGAAAGTCTCTGAAGGGAAAAGGAAGCCACTGTAGCCGTCAGTATACTTCCCTAAATAATTTCAACATTCACTTCATTAACTCAAGTTCAATGTTTGTTTATGGTTCTTTTAAAAACATATATTTTTATTGATTTTTAGAGAGAGGGGAAAGGAGGAGAGAGATAGAAACATTGATGTGAGAGAGAAACATGGATCAGTTGCTCATGCACATCCCCTACTGGGGATCGAGCCGGAAACCTGGGCATGTGCCCTCACTGGGAATCGAACCATGATCTCCTGGTTCATAGGTCGACCCTCAACCACTGAGCCATGCTGTCTGGGCGAAATGCACATATCTTAATTATTCAATGAGTATTGATAGTTGCATAAATCAGTGTATCCCCATTCTCTATCAAAATAGAGAACATATTACCCCAGAAAGTCCTCCAAGCCCCTTCTCAGGTAATCCCTATATCTAACCACCCCCTGTTCTGCGTTTCCCTTCTCCACAGGTGAGTTGCCTGTTCAATAATGGAACCACACAGAATGTATTGGTTAGTGTACTGTTGGAGCCTTTGCTCTTGGATCATGAAAAGTTTTTTTAAAAGGAAAGCAGCATATTGGGAGGAATTATTTTTTTTTTAATTGATGAGAGAATGAGAAAGGAGGGAAGGAGGGAGAGAGAGAAACTGATTTATTGTTCTACTTATTGATGCATTCATTGGATGCTTTTAAAATCCTCACCCAAGTATATATGTATTAATTTTAAAGAGCCAAAGGGATGTGAGAGAGAAATATTGATCAGTTGCCTCCTACACATGCCCCAACCCAAGACCTAGGTATATTCCCTGACCAGGAATTTAACCCTTAACCTTTTGGTGTATGGGACAATGATCCAACCAACTGAGCCACCCAGCCTAGGCTCACTGGTTGCTTCTTGTATGTGTCCTGACCATGGATCGAACCCAAAATCTTGGCATTGATTAATATTTGACAAAGGAGGCAAGAGCATACAATGGAGTCTCTTCAATAAATGGTGTTGGGAAAATTGGACAGATACATGCCAAAAAAAAAAAAAGAAAGAAAGAAAGAAAGAAAGAAAGAAAGAAAGAAAGAAAGAAAGAAAGAAAGAAAGAAAAAGAAACTGGATCACCAACTTACACCATATACAAGAATAAACTCAAAATAGATAAAGACTTAAATGTAAGTTATGAAACCATAAAAATCCTAGAGAAACCATAGGCAGCAAAATCTCCTATCTCTCATAGTAATATGTTTGCAGATACATCTAGAGCAAAAAAATACTAAGAAGAAAATAAACAGGACTACATAAAAATAAAAACCTTCTGCATAGCAAAAGAAACCATTTAAAAAAAAAGAAAAGGGAGCCCACTGTCAGGGAGAACATATTTGGCAATGATACATCTGCTAAAGGGTTACATCCAAAATATATAAGGAACTCATACAACTAAACAAAAGGAAGACAAACAATCCAATAAAAAATGGGCAAATGACCTAAATAGACACTTCTCCAAAGTGGACATACAAATGGCCAAGAGACATATGAAAACATGCTCAAAGTCACTAATCATCTGAGATATGCAAATTAAAATGACAATGCAGTACCACCTCACACCTGTCAGAAAGGCTACCATGAACAAATCAACAAATGACAAGTGCTGGCGAGGATGTGGAGAAAAGGGAACCCTCGTACACTGCTGGTGGGAATGCAGACTGTGCAGCCACTATGGAGAACAGTATGGAGTTTCCTCAAAAATGTAAACATGGAACTCCCATTTGACCCAGTGATCCCACTTCTAGGAATAGATCCTAAGAAACCCAGAACACCAATCAAAAAGAATATATGCACCCTCTGTTCACAGCAGCACAATTTGCAATAGCTAAGATATGGAAACAGACCAAGTGCCCATCAGGAGGTGAGTGGATAAAAAAGCTGTGGTACATTTACACCATGGAATACTATGCAGCAGTAAAAAAAGAAGGGTCTCTTACCCTTTGAGACAGCATGGAGGGACCTGGAAAGTATTGTGCTAAGTAAAATAAGCCAGTCAGAGAAAGACAAGTATTACATGATCTCACTCCTATGTGGAATCTAAAGAACTAAATAAACTGATGAACAAAACAGATCTGGAGATCTAGAAGCATGGAACAGACTGTTGAATCTCAGAGGGAAGGTGGGGGTGGGAGTGGAGGATGTTGGGTGGGTGGCAAGAGATTAACCAAAGAATTTATATGTATATATGCATAACCCATGGACACAGGCAATAGTTTGGTGAAGGCCTGGGCAGGAGGCGGATGTGGGCTAGAGAGGGTCAATGGGGGAAAAATGGGACATCTGTGCCCAGAGATGTGGCTCAGTGGTTGAGTGTGGACCTATGAACCAGGAGCTCATTGTTCAATTCCTGGTCAGGGGACATACCCGGGCTTCGGGCTTGATTCCCAGTTGGGGGCCTGAGGGAGGCAACCTATCAATGATTCTCTCTCATCATTTTTTTTAAAAATATATATTTTATTGATTTTTTTTTACAGAGAGGAAGGGAGAGGGAGAGGGATAGCGAGTTAGAAACATCGATGAGAGATAAACATCGATTCAGCTGCCTCTTGCACGCCCCCTACTGGGGATGTGCCCGCAACCCAGGTACATGCCCTTAACTGGAATCGAACCTGGGACCCTTGAGTCTGCAGGCCGACGCTCTATCCGCTGAGCCAAACCAGCTAGGGCCTCTCTCATCATTAATGTTTCTCTCTCCCCTTCTCCCTCTCTCTGAAATCAATAAAAACATATTTTATAAAAAGGAGGACATCAGTAATACTTTTAACAATAAAGATACATATTAAAATAATGTCATTTAAAAATTTTGCAACCTTTTCTATAAGGAAAGTAAGGAAAAGGAAATATCTGTTTTCACAATTTATGAATCATTGATTTTCTTGTCTTATTTTCTACTACTTACCTGTTCTCTTTCCTCAGTGCTTGAACCTTGTTTTTTCTTCTTAAAAATATCCATTTCTTGCTGAAACCGGTTTGGCTCAGTGGATAGAGCGTCGGCCTGTGGACTGAAAGGTCCCAGGTTCGATTCCGGTTAAGGGCATGTACCTGGGTTGCGGGCACATC